CGTTAAAACACAAGCATGAAGAGAAAGTGGAATAGTGAAGCCTCCGGAAGGTAGAACGCACTATCAAAAGGAGAAACCGCAAATTGAGAAAACACTAACCACATTTTCCTAGAAACTATTCAAAAAGGAAGTGCATCCCATATTAGATTTTCTGCTTACTATTTTGGGTTTTTACAAATATGTTCACTTTCTTAAAAAAAAAAACTTTTTGTCTACACTTTCTGGTATTTCTTTGTTTTTCTTTTTTCAGAAGGTAAGATATTTATGTGTAAATAAAATAAACTACTCAAAAATTATGTAGCTACCCATATTTATACTGTGGAGTACTAAAATAATTCCTAATCCTTTGTCTTCTCACAAGGATTCTTGAACATCAAAAACAGATTCAAGGTCTTTTAAGTACTCTTGCTTACACACAAAAATAGAAAAGGACTAGACACTCATTTTAACTACTTGATTTTACTGAATTTATTTTCAAAGCATTTTTTATTTCTCTAAAGTGTCCACCAAATACAAGTTGGGACAACCGTATCTCTCTTTCTGACCAGAAAGGCTGCCATCTCCGCTCCAGCATGCTAGAACTATAGGTATTCTCCTTAGCATAGCCACATAATACCCCTTAAGTTGATGAATATCTTCCATAACTGAACTGTCAACTTACAATGTAAAAAGAGATGATTGATTGCCTCAGCCTCCTCTCCATGTAAGTAACATCTAGAGCATAACTGGAATCCTCTCTTGGTAAAGTTGTTTCGTGTCAAAAATGGCTCTTTTGTCAAAAGCCATGTAAAGCTAGCAAACTTTATTTGGAAGTTTAACTTCCCATATCTTCTTCCAAGGCTAACATCCAATTTGATTATTTGAGAGGTTGAATATTTATAAACCGACTTAACTGAGAACTTGCCTTGCCTATTCCCTTGCCAAATCATATAGTCGTCAGCAGTAGAGGTCCGTTTGAATTGTTCCAAAGTATTGTAAACTTAGTTAATTTGCTAATCTCCCAATCATTTAGTAGTCTTCTGAAGCTTATGTTCCATCCTTGAGTTTCCCATACCTCTCCCTCTGCCGCTGCTTGTTGCTGACTCAGATTGTGAAGATCAGGAAAAAGTTATTTCAGTGATCCTTGACCAATTATCTTCCCAAAAAGATATATTCATTTCAATACCTACTTTGAAGCTGGACTTGTTCATGAATTTAGACTAGAGATTTCTGATCGACTTCCAAAGACAGTTTATAAGGATTAAGGACCATTCACAGACTTGGTTGTTCATTTTCCTTTTGTCCCATACTTTTCTTTTATTACATCTTTCCATAGTGATCCATCTTCTACAACAAACGTCCACAACCACTCCATCGTTGAACTTTTATTCTGAACTCTCAAATTCTTAATTCCGATTCCCCCTTCCTTCTTACTGGTAGTGAGAGTACTTTAGTTGACCAAATGAGTTCTTTTATTTGTCATCGTTACCTTGCCAGAAGAAGTTCCTTCTTAGCGCATCTATTCTCTTCACTTCATTTACAGGAACTGAAAATAAAGACATTATATAAGTAGGCATTGCATTTAGTACAGTGTTAATCAGAACTAATCTGCCCCTCATAGATAGATATTGGCTCTCACAGTTTGCCGGCTTCGACATCTCTCTAAAACACCATTCTGTATTGCTTTTGGTCTGCTCTTGACCCCCAATGGCATCCCCAGTAAACTATTGGCATTCTCCTATTCTTCCAGTTTGCTACCTTCGTTTCACATTTCTTTGTTCTATCTTTATGGGGGTACTTTTTTATGAAGGTATTTGGACCATTTCTTATTCTTTACAACTTTTTCTCCACTATTAGGTTATTTTTCTCTTAAATGCAGCACTATTTTGACTCTCGCTTTATAGTTTCCAAACAAAATTGAACATATAAACTGGGAGATGCTAAATAGGTAGCCGTTGGATGAAACACTTAAAATGGTTTCTCTCCCTAATTAGTTCTTCTGAGTCTGTTGTGTCCTTCAGTTACTACTGACTAACATCTGATGCGTTATGTTCACTTAAGCATAGATTCTGAAAGTCTAATGAAACAAGCTTGGTGTTGTACTCTTTCCAGAGGACCACAAATTTCTGTGCACCTTGATATACATGGATGCCGGCAAGTTGAGCCAGCCAAATCTGAGGACAAGCTTGACTTTGTCAGGTCCTCGCTTGGGATAGGCTAGCCTGAGATCTTCTTGCTTAAGATTGGCACAATCTATCAACTGAGAGGCTTGAGATTGAACAATTTCATTTGAGATAGAATTAGCCATTTCCAATTTTAACCTTTGGAATGAGAACCTTCGCAACTCAACTTTCAACACTTCTCATGTGGTTGTGTGCGAGACCTGAATCTTGTATTGCTTGCATGTCAAAAAATAGAAGCTAAATGGCAGTCATTATCGAAATCATGCGAAAGGAAAGATGAGATTGAGATAGGAAATGGAGTGGGAGAGACAAAAGAAGAAATATTGGAGACTCTGAATAAAAGATAGAGAGAACACATGATTGTAGATGGCAAGAAGGGACTGATCGGAGATTGGACTGACAGGACTAGAAAGACAGATGGAGGCGAGAGGTAAAATATGTGTCAACTGAAAGTAGATGTTGTAGTGTGTACTTGTTTTAAAAAATGGATTTATTATTAGTGTGTATTTAACATAGGAGTATATATGAAGAAAATTAGTAGGAAGATATTTAATGGTTTCTAATTAGACAAGATGTATTTAAGTTTCAAGTTTTCAAGAAAAATGTATTTAAGCTTCAATTAAAGGGGCTCATGAGCACCCGGTGCAAATCAAAAAAAAAAAGGGGCTCATGAGCATGGAGACGAGCTTTTGTGGTATTGAGCTTAACAGAATGCTAGCAGTGTTGTCAAAGATTTGCTTAAGCCCTGAAGCGAGGCTCAAAACGTGTTGAGTGCTTTGCATCGGTTAACGTGCGCTTGCGCTTCAGTTCCATCATCAAGGTTCTAACACATACTTTCCCTTGCCAATGAGCGACACTAAATAATTGATATTTCACTTTATCATATTATTTTTTTTATTTTTCAACTCCTTTTACATATATTTGTCATTCATGTGTATAATTATTGGTCTTGGACTAACGTATATATTTGTATTTTTCACCCTTTTTGCCTTCTTTCATCAACACCTCATGCTTTATTTGCCCTTAAAAACCCCAACAAATCTTAGAGCTTTTTTACGCTTTTTGCTTTTGATAACACCAAATGCTAGTCAAACTAAGCAAGTTCCTAGACTGCTTGAGTAGCTTGTGAGCTGTCCTACCATGCTTCTGGCCCAAGTAGTAATCCATTTTCCCCCTTCATTCCCAATTCAAAATTTTATTTCTCTTTTTCAAAGGGTGCTGCACCACAGAGTTCTGTGACCATTTGTGTGGTAGAAAATTCATTATTTCATCAATTTTTGGACGTGAATCATATGTAAAGCACACACTTCCATGAGCTTGTCAGAAATTATGTAAACAGGTGACCACTTTATAGAAATGTCAAGCCAGTGGAACAATAAACTTTGATAAGGAAAAAAGGCAATGGAACAATAAGGTATCAAGGATTCCTCAAGATATGAAGTCCTTGTATTTTGCTGTTGTTTCTACCATACCTCTTTTAAACCAAAATTGCATTAAGAAATTTCTCCATATCAATCAGTGTCAAGCCAGTGAAACAATAAGCTTGTTCAGATATAGCTAGATGAATAAGAAGGACTCGAGATTATACCAAGATATGATGTCCTTGTTGTTGCTGTTGTTTCTACCATGCCACTTTTAATACAAAATTACAGCAAGAATTTTCTCCCTATAAAGTTCTCTGTTTCTTTTCCCGACTGTTGTGTGGTGCTTGATGGTAGGATACTAGCAAGAAATCTCCCATGGAATTGATCAGTGAAGTTCCACCTATCAAGGTTGAGGGAAGGATTGCTGCCTGCGAAGGAGGTAATTTGAATAACATATCGTGCTCCCATTTCTTTTGCAAGTGTTAGTGAGTTGCTTAGGAATTATACTGCTTCCTTGAAGAAGAATCTGTCTGCCTGAAAGTACTATTTTTTTCTTCTGAAACAGACTCACCTGCTCTTGGTCATCCAATTGAGTATATATGCCTTGATCTGCCTGAGCCAGCTATATGCAAGTACTGTGGTTTGCGCTTTGTTCAAGATCATCACCATTAGGACTGCAATATGAGGATTCCTGAATTAAGAAGTCGTCTTCATTTTATATGCAAGCAACTCTGCTTAATGTGTTCATTTTGCACTACTGATGCAGGCAAGTTTTGCCTCTCGTAATAAGGATTAGGGTTCTGTGTGATCCATTTCTTAAAGCTGGCATGCAGATGCTTTTGACAAGTTCATTTCTCTCTTTTGCACATACATAGCACAAGCTTTTGCCTGATTAAATTTATATTAGCTGCCAGAGGTTTTCAACATGACTTATATAGTTATATTACAGTTCACAACTATTACTCCAGATATGCTTAGAAGGCAAAGTTGGAACTCACCTCGAGGCAAGACACTCAAAAAATGTCTTGGGACAGATGGAGGAAGTACTTGTTTCACGAGGTTTACGTCTCAATCGTCCAGATGTATGCTCCAAATGAGCTCTACGCCTAATGCACGTGGCTCGCCCTACAATTTTTGTACGAACATGCCTTGCGAACACTCAAAATTCCTTAACTAACCCTTTGATTCCTCAACAACACTTACATTTATAGTTATCACAATTCAGAAGCTTGAGAATATTGTAATCCAAAGGTAAGAGTCGTAATATTTGCATATTCCCTGGCTGAGAATACAACGAGGGTGAGCTTTGAATGGAACCTTTTAAGTAAAATCTGCAAATGACTCTGTTGAAAGAGTACTCTTTAGTGGTGATAATTTTTTTCAGCCTTTTTAACACTTTTATTTCCGTGCGCTGAATACGCAAAGTGGCCATTAAAAATATGAGTAAACACAGAGCATGCCTAAGCTAATCTGATACAATGGAACTGTTAACTTGTAAGAAGCCAAAATTTCCCAAATAATTGAGAAAAGAATAAAAACCATTCTTTGAATGTCGGTAATAATTTTCTGAGAAGACACCGCACCCTTGATCAACTTCTTTGACAAAAATCATCTAAAGGAAAAAACCTCTTCACTTGTCACCCTCAGCTGCAGCTAATTTCCTCCTCTGCTGATGTTCTGCAACTTTGTAATCTACCACTTCACGAAACAAGTTAGCATCTAATACACAGTCCTCAGTCCCATATACAGCAGCTTGAACGCCAGCCATCATTTTTGCGACCTCTCTGCCTGAAAATCCCTCCGTCCTGGCTGCGGCTTCTCTCAGAATATCATCTGTCAAACCTTTTATCTCTATTTTTTGCTGCTGTTTCTTGAATAAGTTAGAGAACAAGCCAGGTTTCCTTTCCCCAGCTTGAGATATATATTTCTCCAGATACAGTTTGATCAGCTTGAAGCGCTCATCCTCACCAGGCAAAGGGAATTCGATGACTTCATCAATACGATCAGCAACAGCTGAATCAAGATCACCAGGCCGATTAGTAGCTAAGGCAAGGACTATATCTTTTGACTGATCACCAGTGCGGAAAAGGAGTGCATTGAGGGCACTCCTCTGAGCTTCACTCATGTAGGTTTTATTTCGCCTGAAATTGAAATGAAATGGTATGAACTCATAGACCAAATAGCTGTACAACCAAATTCTAAGCGCCAATCATCTTTACATGATAAAGTGAAAATCGAGCAAGCCATATATTATACCTGGCCTTGATATCAGAAATGAAGATGATATAACTGGTTAATCTAGTAACAATGTGGCATTATTAATTTGACGACATTTATATGAGGTCAGAATTTTCCCTTTGACTTCAGCAAGTTCTCCCTCAAAGGAGAACAAGGACTCAGTAATGAAATCACCATTCAGACATTGTTATCTCTCCTGATTTTTTTCAGTGCCTTGCAAGTTGCAACTCTCAGTATTTAAAACAAATTCTTCCAGCACATCTTGAAGCCACAAAGGACTCCAGAAATTCCCGAACAAGAATATACTAATTAATTCATTGAAGGAAGTAGACCTCTTTGTACAGCAACCCAATTAAATAGTATAAACCTACTATGCAGATGTTTTATTAAAGATCTAGATCAGCCAGAGGCAGCAATGCTGGGGAAAAGTCACTTACTCGCACAAAAATGCATCTGCTTCGTCAATAAAAAGTAATAAACCCTTTTTGGACTTTTTGGACCAGTCAAATAACTGATGTATTTTGGTGACAGCCTGTGATCCCAACGGAGCAACGTCACCACCCGTCATCAATGCGTAGTCAAGTCCCTGACAACAGATTCAAGCATATTATTGACCACCAAAATAAAGTCAGAACCACCAATTTATAGATATTTCATGAAGGGAGTCATAAATCATCACTCTTGAGAGAATTCCCTTAGAGAACTTCTTGATGAGCGTCTTTAATTTCAGAATGGTGAGACTTTGCATCAATTTTATTTTTTTTCAGGTACTTTTTGTCAACTTAATAAGATGGTAGACATAAGCCTGTTCCATGGCAACTCAATGCTTTATTATAAATTGTATCAACAGGTTTCCTAACCCATATGCAATACTTCAACAATTTTGAATGGAACACATATCAATATGAATATGTAAAGATCACTGCTCATTAGTTGAAAGGGGAAGAAAGATCTTACCGATCTGCGAGCAAGCTCTCTAGCAACCATTGTCTTCCCTGTTCCTGGAGGGCCATAAAAGAGCATGTTGCGAAATGGAGCTTGATGAGCTTTGGTATTAGCAGTGGCATTGGCTAACTGCTGAATCCTTTTTTCAAGAGATGGATGTAGAATGACATCACCAAACCCTTTCTCAGATTTGGTTGCGGAACCTCCATTAGCACCTTTGAGAGAACTCATGGCTCGTGAGAAGAAGCCCGACCAGGGATATTTACCTCTAGATGACTCTCTGATCAAAGATGGCTGTCCCAATATTCTGTCCACATAACTCCAAACAACTCTTGCACCTTCCCTGCAATCCAGATAGCAAACTTGCATCAACCATACTAGATACACCAGTCAAAACAAGTAGTGCTAAAAAAGTACCTTCAAGAACAACCACAGGATACAAGAGGATAACCAAAACTTAATAGTTACTACCGCCTATCCCAAATCAACCAACTTCTTTGTTGATAGCCATTTGAAATAAACAAGTGGATTATCGATAGAGGCAGCAGTCAAACAAGACAATTCTACCAGTAGCTAATTATCATATGAATTCAGCATGGCTAAAATGATGGAAATGTTTACAAGTTTGCATCCCATTACAGTAGGATTCTCCTCGCAAGTGAATCTTCATTTTATCCCCATAAGGTGGTTTGAGTAATAATGATGCTCAAACCAGAAGAACAAACAAAGAAGACTTGGGCCAATAACCACAACGGACTCAAAAAGCCAGCAGAAAGCGTCATCCCACTGAGGCGTCATAAGCCACAACTAAAATGATGGAAAAAAGTAAAGGACTGATCAATGTGTTAAAGCTGATAGTCTTTGGTGTTTTCGTTATCGTTTGTAATCATTGTATCTTCTTGATGCTATCAACGGGATTCTCTTACTTCATAAAAAAAAAAGTATGGTCAAAGTATCTGATGTCTGTTCATGTGGATTCTGAAAGAGGAAAAGAAAATGCCTAGATCCCACAAGCAATGTACATAAGAAAATTCACATCACAACATTTAGCATGACTTGGAAAAAATTGCACAAGCCAAAAACTTTCACACTGTTATTTTGAAAATATATTTAATACCTTGTTGTGTATATTCCAGCCGCGAGAGCTGTCACACCACCAACAGCCACAACAAGCTTATTTTGATCCGTTAGTATTGCCCGGAAACCACCTACATAAATGAATATCTTCACGTCAGAAAGATCATATTTTTGCATTAGCAGTAGCCAGAAATATAAGCCTAGCTACAATGTGTGCATTTGGTATAAATCTGTAGTGCTTTATTACCTTTTTAAAGAGAGAACTGTTACATACTGCAATTTATCTAATACAAAGTTCTAATCCACCACTCAAGTATCAGCACTAAATGTAGTCACTAGGGGATTGCCAAGAATCAGAAGAATGAAGCATCTATGAATATGTAAGGAGTCCAGAAATCGTGTATAGTGTATTTAATTTTTTTCTGCTACTCATTGAAAATGCTAAAAAGGAAAATGAGCACAGAAAATGTCTAAAATCTAAATAACAAACTCATTGATTGTTTCTGACACCAGCAAACAACTATTACTCCATAATACTTAAAACAATTATAAATTCAAATCTCTTCCTGTTTCTGTTTTCCTACGTCTCTTCAGCAAAATTTACAAACACAACCCATTGGCATGAAAGGCAGATTCAGACCAAAAAAATTCAACATCAAAACAAGGTAAGTATGCATTACGCAAGTCAGTATTAATAACATGAATGAAATAGAGGGTTATGGATCATAACTCTACACATGGCTACCTATTAAGAAAAACTCTATACATGGATACCCATAAAATGCAAGCTTTAAGATGGTCGTTAGAGAAGAACCTCCAATGTGCTCAAAAGTCGTATTAATCGCGGCAATCCATTTCTCCCTTTCAGCATTTGCACGGTCCACTAGTATTCTTCTGTTAACATCCTCAGCCAGCTTTGCTTCATGCGCTCTCCCCTCGGCTTCTGCCATAGCTCTCACTCTAATAGTTTCACGTTCTATCTCTGCCTTTTCTCTCTCTGTCTGTCGGCGCTGCGCTTGGATTTGTTCTTCTGTTGCTCGTCTAGCAGCCTCTTGTCTCATACCTGATTCCTCTTGCATTTTTACCAACTCCTGATTTCTAGCTCTTTGATGCTCATTTTCTGCCTGCAGAATGCAAGGAGAAGTCAGCTTTATCAGTTAATGCAATACCAATTTAACCATGACATTAAGAAGACCTTTACATGCCTGCATCCTTTTCCTTGCTAATTCATCTTCATATCGAGCCATCTGTGACTTGATTTGTGCCTGTTGCTGAGCTAGTTTCTTCTGTTCATCGTATACAACCCTTTGTCTCTCCTGTTAAAAGAAAGAAAGCTAATCACATATATTTTCCCCATAGGTACATAAATAGCAAAGTTCACATTTTGAAATTACAAACAAGAAAAGTAAAATGTGGTGCACTGATAAGATTAGTGAACAACAAAAAAGGTTTCCTTTAGATTGTTTAGTGAACAAATAATTATTTTTTTATGAACGAGGAATCCTGAGGGCCAGTAGCATAAGGTTTGAAACTCGGTGGATAATGGGCCCACCCTTTTAAAACAACAAATAATTATCAAGTGCACAAATGTCGAGCATTTTTCAAATCCGCGAACTTGATTCAAACAAATGTTTCTTTTTTTGCATTACGCACTCATGAGATGGAAAAACCTAACTATTCAGCAGGCCACTCCAGATCTAAGTCCAGAGCCTGTTTGAATGGAAATTAGTTGGAATGCATGGCTTAATTATCTTCAAGAACTTCCCTAATAGAATTTTTAATGTAAGATAATTGAGCTATTTGTATTTGGATTAGCTTGCACATGGAAATACATAATCATGTCCCTGGGGCCAATGAAATTTCTAGTCCACTTTTAATACCAACCAGTAATGCTTGATTAGGATTTATAGCATAAGTAAGAAAAACAAGGGACATTACACATGGAATATCCTAATTAAACAACAGAGATCAAAACCACAAACAAATTGTGCAATTATGAAATGAAACAACCGTTCAACTTACAACAATTATTTGCAAGCTCATACGTCTGATTACGGATTCATCAAAAGGGAAACTTTCTATATCTATCAACAAAAACAAATAAAGGAACCTCTTTCTTAATGAGTTGATACACAAGCATCAGTTCACCATAGAAAATCAATCTTACCATCTCAGCTTGAGCTTGCAATGCTTTAAACTCTTGCATTTTTGCAGTTAACTCTGCTTGCCTCGTCTCTTCTTGCTTTTTAATCACATCAAAAACCTACAACAAAGATCTCAGATTTAGTATCTTCCACACCATAGAACATCACAAACTTGGAAAAGAAAGTCAAAGACAAAACCTTTGCCTTGCATAGAACATAAGTTGATCAAGAATACCACAAAATACCTCTCAACCAACCATGAAATATCTCATGAAAACAAAAAATTAACACCATAGAATGTCATTTACAAAATTCAATCTCAATCTGAGCTCTTTTCCCACTTTAACACACATCCATTGCCAAAAAGAAAAATATAGAAAAACGACAAGATTGTGAATCATGTAGTCTTATATTCAGTGTGAACACCATAGCAGTTCCTTAATTTTTCTGAAATAAAATTTAAACTACATAACAATACACAAATCCTTTAATTTTGACAGCTAATATATTTTCCAACTAATTGATTCCCCAAATAGTAGCAACCAAACAAATTGGGACATTTCAATCATGTTTCCTAAGAATAAAGCTAAAAAATCAACTCGGGTTCCAGACCTGTTTGGCACTTTTGGAACTATTAATCTCCCTCAACGCCTTGGCCCCTCTCTCCAATGCCTCCGGATCAAAACCAGCTGAAGTAGTCCTGGGATTATCATTTCGAACCTTTGGCTTTTCAGGAGCTTCCGCTGTCGGCCGAGGTGGCTTAGGAACATCAGCAGGAGCACTCGGTGCGGCATTAGTAGAAGAAGAAGTGGAAAACGGAGAGAAATTGAAACTACCATCGGCATAAGCAGTTTCTGTACCAAATTTGGCAGAAGCTAGGGCTGCAAATAGCCCTGCTGCATAGGTTTTTCCCATTACGGATTGAGATTGTAGGCGATGAGAAGAATTGTAGGGATTTTTCTTCAGTTAGTGTGGCTTGATGGAGAAGAAAAGATGCACAAGGAAGAAGCCATGAAATGTCTGTAAGGTTCAGGGTTTATGTAGGGTTTGAGATTTATTGGGTGAAATGACGGATTTGGGCCTTTCTTTCTTTGTAAAGAGTCTGAACCGGACTAGTATTAATGAACCGGGCGGTTTAGTGGTTTCTTTTTTCAAGTTTTGAAGCAGTGGTTTTTTTCTATAAACAATTCGATTATATTACTTCATAATATGTTTTAAATGTTCGTATTATTGCATCATCTGGAAATAAAAATTTAGGTAAATTATAAGTAGTACATTTTATGTTCGAGGAAAATATACAAATTTAATATCTTTCAAATGATTCATTAATCTATGGCATCTATTTCTCATGATGATAATTAGCATCTTCTTGAATATCATATATTTTGCATTTAATAGTATATGAATCTTGATCAACCATTATGCACCATTCTTTCCATACTTTCTTAAGTACTTTGACGATTATTATTTTATCTATAAATTAAATATGGGTGCTTAAGACATAAAGCAGATGGTCACAATTATTCATAGTCGGTTTTTCGAGGGTTGTCTTCTCCTTTTTTATTTGTAAACTCTCATATGTAAAAATAATAATTTCATCTTGTATTTGAGTAATCCACCACGGCTTCTATTAAATATACAAGTCAAAACTGATGAAGTTTACAAGTATTATCATATTCATGTAAAATAAATAGAGTCTTATTACCTATATCGTTACGTTCATATTATCACTGAAAAACATAATAAATTTCTATCTTTCCATTTTATCGTAAAGAAGAAATATTTAATCCCAATAGCTCAATAAAATCTGAGTACTAATATAATACACCAGTTTATTTTATTTTTGGTTCCTTCCCTCAATAGGTAGGAGAACATGTTAATGTTCAATTTAGTGGTCAAAAAGTAAATATACAAATGGGCTCCTACGTAAATGATGGAGGCCCATATTACCTTGAAGGGATCACTCTACTCATTATGTCATTCATAACCCTCCCTACTTATTGAGCCTTTCAAGCCTTTTTTTTCTTGAAAAATCACATAAATATTGTCTACAAGACCTTAAGTTACTAGGGAAAATTACATGGTTAACTAAATATATACTCCCTTCATCTCTAATTACTTGTCCACTTTTGAATTGACACACCTATTAAGAAAATAATAATTTACATAATGATTTTACCATTTTACCCCTATTAATTATGAAGTTGATGAATTAAAAACTTAAGATTTTCCAGAAGTTGTACCTTTTTCAAAATAATTAATCGAGGGTATAATAGGTAAAAATAAATTGTCCTTTCTTGATTTGTCAAAATGGACAAGTAAGTAGGGGTAATTAAAAAAGAAAAAATGGACAAGTAATTAGGGACAGAGGGAGTACTAGTTAATTAGTCATCATAGCTATTGTTTTAATTAATTATCACTCGCGATCAAAATTTAGTGATAATTATGTGGGTTGGGGTTTTGATTTTGTATAATTCTAAATTTGTAAAGTATAATTTGTATAACTTTTGTATAATGTAATTTGTATAACTGTATAAAGTTCAAATGTTTGTATTTGTATAAATTTGTTATTTTGAGTTTATACAAAAATAGTTCAATTATACAAACGTACCTGCAAATTATACAAAATTATACAAACGTACCAGCAAATTATACAAACGCACCCACGAATTATACAAACGATGTTGCTTAAACTATAGCTACAGCCCGTAAATATGCAAACTATAACTATGGACCATAATTAAGTTTATTATAATGGATGTTTGTGAAAATTGCCCTTTACAATGCATAGGGAAACCTACAGAAATCTCATATATTTGGGGCTAATTACATTTTATTCCGAAAGCTTCTATAGTTACAAAAGTCTTGAATTTTTTATTGCTCTCGGATACATTCATTGGTTGTTCAATACATTGCAAACGATATATTACTTAATGAGAGGGATGTATCCGAGAGGGGATTTTTGTAATCTTTTTTTAAATGATAAGAGAAATTTAGAAATTATGATATCTTAAGTTGTATATTTATGTAATTTTTCCTATGTTTTTCCCTCCCTTTAAGATACTCTAGCTTCCTCCATTTTTTCTCTTTTGCCGTTTGGACAATATTTGAGTTAAATCATGAAAAAACAGCATTTGAAGTTGAAGAAATAATAAAAACAGTGTATCAGTTAATTATGCCAGGTAATATTTCATTAAAGAAATGATAGGATACATAGCAACACACAACATAATTTGATGGGACCAATTACAACTCTATTTTGGTCAATACTGAATAGTGCGTAATGCATAATTGCTTTCCAAATTTGTAATAAATCATTTTTTTGAAACAAATTTCAATAAATAGATAAAAATAGTTCTTCACATAAATTGAGGTACATGGAATTTGGAAGAGTAATAAATAATGGTGCATGAATTTATAAAACTGAAAGTTTTCCTTTCAAAGAATCCAGAAAATTCACACAAAAAGTGAAGAATTTTTTTTAAAAAAAAGAAGTAAATCAACATTCAAAGAATTAGTCATTGGATATATAAGACTTTGATACAATACTGTTAAAGACTTTTAGCATAAGTGATCTTCGATACAATTACGGACTTTGCGTAGACGGAGTGCATTATCACTGTGGTGTCGCGGCTAGTTTGGCTCTCAAATCTTTCCTTAGTATCTTTCCAGATGGAGACTTCGGAATCGCGTGAATAAAATACACCTTGTGCAATTTTTTATAGAATACCACCTGCCATATCAATTTTACGTTAAATTATGGTTAGTAAAATTCTACATTATAGGTTCTCTTCTAGATTCGGTCCGAAAAGATTGATGTATTACCTGTTTGGCGATAAATTCCTTTATAGCTTCTTCAGTAAGATCAAAACCTTGGGCCGAACGGACTACAAATGCAACCGGGACTTCCCCTGCAGCGCCATCCTTTTGCCTGCACAAATTAATTAATTGTTAAAACATTTTTTAAAACTACAATACATAAGAGCCAAATTAACACATAATATTTTTTTCTATGATTCAGTATATGTGGAATTGTATTAATTGTACTTACGGCACAACAGCAGCATCTGCAATTTCTGGATGGCTTATTAGAAGAGACTCAAGCTCAGCTGGTGGCACCTAAACGAACCAGCAAATGAGTTTAAGTTCTATACACTAATGAACTGATGATATAAAAAATATTTAACGTTGTCAATATATATATATATATACCTGGAAACCTTTAAACTTTATGAGCTCTTTGACTCTATCGACAATGTATATTTCATCATCGTCATCTACATATCCTATATCGCCGGTGTGGAGCCATCCATCGACATCTATGGTCCGTGCAGTGGCCTCATCATCATTCAGATAACCTAATTAACCCATACATATAACATTTTAATATAAATTCCATATTATTTATAGACGATTACCTAATAAGAGTATCATTTTTACGCTATCAATGTATAGAAAGTTAAAATTTATAATGAATTAATAACGACCTTTCATGATTTGGGAACCACGAATGCAAATTTCACCGGGTTGGTTGCGGTCAAGGGAGCCACCGTTTTCCGGGTCAACCACCTTGAGGTCCGCATTTCGAACCACAGAGCCACATGAACCGGATTTAGTTGATAATGGTTGCTTTGCAAATGCTGGACACATTGTTACTACTGGTCCTGCCTCTGTCATACCATATCCCTGCAAATTCATGTGAATTGTTAAAAATATTAATTCCCATGTTTTAAAATTTTCCAGAATTTTTTGCCTGATTTTACTTTATGAATGAAGTGCCAAATATATTTATGCCTATAAATATTTGGCACTACAATTTATGGTATTAGCAATACAAGAGTTGGCATAAATCAGCACAAACATGGTTAATGATATAATTGCTTCTGAAAGTGAAGGATATTTTTGAATACGAATAATCTTTTAAAATATTATGTGATGCATGCTATTTTTAATACATCAAATCAAATTATAAATAAAAAATAATGTCAATAGAATTAATTTCAACATAATTAATTCTTACATAACTAAATTCAATAACACTATTTTTATACACTCAACCAAACTAACTTAATAGATTTGAAAACCGCCCTAATCCTCCTAAAAGAAAATGTTTAGTCAAAAACCTTATGCTTTTCAATTGAAAAGCACTTCTAGATTATTGTTTTTGTTTGCAAAAGCACATTTGCTATATAAATTCGTTCACTTTTTGAGTAAAATACCAGATTTGTATTAAATGGCCGTTACCTATTTAAAAAGGTACTCTCTGAGTTTAATAATATTTGTTCACTATTTAATTGGCATATTTTTTAAAATTTATAAATAGAAAAGTAATTTTACTATATCACCCTTTGAATATAATAAATATAATGTCTTGAAAAATATAATTGAGAAATGATTATAATTAATGATAAGGGTAAATTATGAATTAAGTGTAAAATTATCCATTGATTTCATAAAGTGGACAAGTATTGTTGAACATTCCAAAATAGTATAGTGGACAACTATTGTTGGATGGAGGGAGTATAAAAACGTAGATGAATTTAATGTTCCAATAATAGTTATTTGCTATTGACTTTGCACACTTCTTAATAAACTATAAATAGAAGGGTAATTTTATTATATCACCTTTTGAATATAATAAATACAATGTTTTGAAAAATGTAATAGGAAAATAATTATAATCAATGATAAAGGTAAATTAAGAACTAAGTGTAAAATTATCTATTTAATTTATAAAGTGGACAAGTATTATTGAATATTTCAAAATAATATAATTGATAACTATTGTTGAACGGATGGAGTAACAGTCAATTGATATGTTTGTATTAAATGGCCGCTACCTATTTATAAGGGTATAAAAATCTAGATGAATTTAATGTTACGTACCAAACAATTGATATGTTTGTATTAAATGGACGCTACCTACCGCTAATATATTACGTGCAGCAATTGCAACCGTCAAAGAGTCTGAAGTATGACAACATATATTGAAATATGATATGAAGAAATAATAGTTAAATTAGTTAGAAAACTGTT